CTACACAACAAAAGGCGCCCAAATGAATATTCAAAATTACACAAATAATATTTAATCATTACACAAAAAAATACTTACACAAAATAAAAAATAAAATATAAAAATAAATATTATTATTATTATTATAATAGATATAGATTCCTCAACATAACTTTCTGCTACAGAGGAGCTCTTCCATCCACCTTGCCGCTTGATGGTTGTAAGATCATCACCTTTATTGGCCAATAAAGTTGCTAAAGTGCGCCTCACAAGGGCCAGTATATGCTTCTGGATTTGCGAATATTCACGAATCAAGCAACTATTGAGGGTACCAGTTTGTTGATTCCAACAGGATGAGAAGTACATTTTTGCATGATGCATCTGTCTTGTGTTAGGCGAATTGGGCGAAGAAAAATATATTTTCTACATATTATTTCTATTCCTTCTTCTATAATTGTAAATTTTCATTCAAACAAGTAGGTAACTGTCAACGTCCTGTACGTCACTAATATCCAAATTTGTCAATTCGCAGCATCGACAGGCACCAGAAACCGCCATTATTAGCGCAACCTAAAATAATTCAAAGTTCACTGTACACCTAACAACATGTAAAAGGTAAAGAGATATTGCCTTAATCATTAAATATTCTTTAACTGAAGCCCCAGACAAAAATTCTTTAATATGTGCTCTTTCCAATACTGCATGCAGCTTTGTTTGCTTTGTATCCTCTCGATTCACTCTTCAAATAAGTTGTAAGCTTGTTATATTTTCTATATTTTTGTATGCCTTTATAGTAGCCTTCAACATCGAATATTTCAACCACATAGATGAAATTGCATATTTTTTCTTCAAATTTAAAAAATACTGTAGCATGACTTCTTTATTTATTGTCATTACTCTCTCTTTTTGTAATAAATGGAAAATTGCTTCTTGAGCCTCTTCAAAAACAGCCACAGGAACACAATTACATTGCATTTTTACCAAATTCAAGTAGAACTGTTTATTAAATAATTGATAATAAACAACGTACCATAGCAACCAGTAGATATAACAAAACCTATCACGTGTCATTGAATACTAGTAAAACACATCAAGTCGAAATACGTTCTCGCGTTTAAACATTTTTGCGTGGATAATTTACTACTTAAAACACTTGTACAATTAATAACTATTAATTTTATTACTATTGATATATTTAAAAAACTTGTTTTTTGTTTTATTATTCTGCTTGTAAAAAGGAAAACTTGCAACAACAGTTAAAGTTGTCATTTTAGACAACGAAGCAGAGTATTGTTAATGGTAGAAACTTAATATTTAAATTGCAATTTTGTTGCATTAACCAATAAAAAAATAACACGTGAATATATTAAAAAGGTAAAGTGAAAATATGCGTTGCCATACTTGTTCATATCACTAAAGGGCAAGTGAAAGGAAGGAAAATTGAATGTTACAGCCACATCAGCTGCCAAAGTGAATGACACCAAATCACCAGCAGGATAACGCAACCCAGGAAATTTGGGAAAACGTTGGAATGACAGTCTGACCTTAATAACAGGAGGCAGATGAAAGAAGGAAGGGCGAAAGAGACGCAAGAATATTCAGCTCTTGTTAAGTTTGTAAAAATCTGACAAGCAAAAATATATACCTCGATTGAATTTACTATATTTTCCGCTCATGGAGATAAACTTATTAATATTACGTTATTGAAAGAACACTTTCCTCATATATTTAGTAACAACATAATAAAGAATGAGCCCATATTTAATTGAATAAATTATAAAGCATCTAAACATTCTAACGCAAAAAAAAAACAATAAATGCAGAGGATAATACAATAATCTGGTATTTTCTCTTTCGCTTCAAATACACAATCTATGATTCCCTCGAATTTATGAGAGCTGTTTATTTTTTGCTTCATTCACATTACTTGAGAGAGTAGCTCTGATGAGATAAAGCAGTAGGTAGGTACCTACTATATACAGTACAGTCTCTGAAAAGTTGAGGGCCCTTCTAAATGTTACTATTCTTTTTTCTCTTTCTCTTTTAACGGGAGGAATCAGTCTTAAAGTCGTACGTTTTGTGGTATTTTGTTGCTTTCCCCACAATCCTCTCGTAAAAATCACGACCGCGTCTATGGATTTTCTTCCCTATAGAGTCCCGATTTGCCACATTTGAAAACCTTCAAAGTTTGTGGGGTGCCGAGCACTCAAGTCAGGTTGAGCTCGTCGAAGCGGATGTTACACGAGCCCCTGTAGAGTGCATAAGGCATATTAGACACATGCATCGGAACAATAATGAAGAGGAATCGATAGCGCGACGGAACAAGCAAATCGGATGAAACAAGTGGTTGAAGAGAGACGAGTGTTGGGGAAATACTTGGTTTTGTGCTTTGAGGTCTGAGATGAATCACTATGCTGCACCTGTATCTTTTTTCATGCACAAAATATCTACTAGAAAGGCTACAGCTTTTTATTCCATAACTTTAAAGTCTGAAGCCTCAATTCAAATTAATAGATTCGTTGTGTACGTTGATCTTTTTATATTAAATGCTACACAATACTTAAAAAAAAAAATAATAATAATTTTCCTTTCCTCTCTTTTCCATTTAAAGGATTAATTTTTATTTAATTTAATTTTTTATTACTATTTTTTAATTAAAATTAGATTAAATTTAAACAAAAAATTTGTTTTTCTACAAAACTGTTAAAAGTGGGCTTTTTAATTGTCATTTTTGATGTTAAAAATGTCATTGTAGAAAAAATATTGTATGATATACGTGTTAAAAGTGATTTTATTTTGTTCGTGAAGTTAAAAAACTCGCTAAGCTCGTTTTTTAATCATCTTCACTCACAAAATAAAATCTTACTTTTAACACGTATATCATAAATAGCTATTTTGTTTAAATTACTATGGAATTGACCAAAGTGGGATTAATTCAAGAGTGATTTTCTCAGAAACCGTTAAAGATAACGATTTGAAACAAGAGTACCTTTTTAACGTAAAACAGTTCGGGAAAACGGAATTTGCTGTCCAATTTGTTAAAAAGTCAAAGATGAAAAAGTTACACACGCAAAGTACCAAGGGCCCCCCCGTACCCACCCCAATGGACCTTGTGGAAATAAATGGATTAGTCCATCAAATTGCTCATCAAAATTTAGCTGTGTATACCAAATTTCATTCATTTATCACAACGCGATTGAGAGATATTGCAAAAAAATGATTTCCATTCCTCCCTCTTCAATGGGTCCCTGTGCCCTTAGGAAACATTTCCGGACCTATGTTCATATGAACTTTTTTACTTAGTTTTGATCATAGAATCGGCCTGTTCAAAGTTGACAGCTAATTATGACACCCTGTATAAATATTTTTTTATTTGATAATTAAATTTACATCAAATTATGTAATAAGCAATTAATTACTGGAAAATAAAATCTAGTACTGAAATTTCCGGAAATAATTAAATTGTTAATTGGAAATTTCTACAGGATAAAATAAATAATTTGGTGTACAACTGTGGACTGGTATTATGTATATAATTTATATAGCTGCAATTTTTTAATTAACGAATTAGATTTTCGTAATTCGATAGGTAATTTAATAATTTCGATAAACTACGATTTTATATGCTTTGATAATAACTGTTAATGTTAGTTTTATCTAGCTGCAGGCGTGATAAAATCTTATTCATGGGAACCATTTATAACAAATTATTATCATCTGGATATCTATGTAAATCTTATGATGCAAATTTTTCTTTGGCAAGTGCATCCCTGCTTTGTTTTGCCACATTCAATAAAAGAACTGCAGATTAAAAAAGGTAGTCCCCAACGTTCATATATATGTAATATTCTTACCAAGGGGGAATATATTAGATTTTAAGGAAAAAGAAGTTATAAGAGTGGAAATTGTGCGCCTACTGAATTCAGATTGATTTTTAATGTTTTATAACATATAAGTGTAATTGTCTAGAGATGAACGTCGTCTTAAATTTAAATCATAAAAACTTGGATCATATTTGGGTCAGAGGGTCCTAATAAAATCAATGCAATAATTTGTTTTTGTCATTTTTTTGTTGTCTTATTCCATTATTAAAAGGAAATTTTGATTTTCAATTCTTATTAACAAATTGTTGCTCATATTGATCAGATTTTTACAATTTTCCAAAGGATCAAAATATTTTACAAAAAGATTCTCTTGTTGATAACAATAATTGTACCTTTTTGCTCTATGTGACAGATATTCAAACAAATTAAAAAACAATCAATTTTAAAAAATCTGACAAAATAAATATATTTGATTATTTTATTACTAATAATAATTATACAAAATAAACACTAAAAATGATGTTTAAATATCTAGAATTAATATACATATAAAAACATGCCTGATATGTTGAAAATGTTATGTAGGGTGTCCCGGTATTTTATACAAAAAAGTCGAGTACGAATAAATGATGTCTAAATAGTATCAGTAGGGACTAGGGGTCACTTCCTAAACATTTTGATAAATAAATTATTGTTCAAAGTTACATAAATCTATTTTTGCTCTCATAAGTGGTCCAATAAGATGCAAATGAATGAATTTTATTTTTTTATGCGAAAACCGTACGTCAAACTCATGACATCTCATTTGCTCAGAAAGGAATGAGGATTTCAAAAATGGTTTTTACTTTAAGAAAAAGCAGTGGCCTAACATATTTTTCTTCAAAAATATTCAATACAAAACCTGTACAGACGCCACTGGCAAAAATAATAAAATTGTTTGTACATCAGAAAATGCATCTCGATGAATAGAAGGCGTGTACCAAATTTGAAAAAATATCTAGGGTAATAGCAAATTTATCATAAAAAAATGTTTTTTCATAAAACTTTAGCACCCTGTAGTTCAAAAGTTAAGACTTTTAAAACATATGTTCATATGAAGTTTTTTTCTTAAAATGGACCCAAGAATAACCTTAAATATTAGCACGTTAAGAAACACTCTGTATAGTTTGCTAAATCAAATTAAATGCTTTGTTCCAGGGTTGTCCTCTCCGCAGCTAGGATGGATCGAGCGGAGCCACGGATCATGACGCGGCACTCACCCACGACGCACGTCGCTACGCCGCCATGGCGCTGCTGATGCGACGTCTACTCGTAGACGCTCAGGTAAACATCGTAGGTTATCTTATTTCCTCACCTGTCGCTCACGGAAAGGTCTAATAAAATTCCATCAAAACATCAGATATCAAATTAAGTATCGCTTTGGGCGAAATTCCAGCAGAGTCAGGCGCTTCATGAAACGGAATTCTTTCCTGCTCAAACGTGGATTAGATTAAATAACTTAACTGGAAAATTAGTATTTACTTTTGCTCTTAACTCGCTTTGATTGAATTTGTCGTATTTCGATGTCTTCTATCGCATTTTTGTAAAACGAATACCTCATATCCTGAATCTCAATTTTTGTGACACGCAAAGAGGGGAGTCGGGTAATATCGGTTACATTTGTCAAAATGTTAATGTTAAAACATTATTTTTTATTTTAAAAAATAAATAATGTACTTTCAAAAAATATACACCTAAAAAAATTACCAGCAACGTAAAGATACATTTTTTAAATTAAAAAAAATAAAAACCCTCTAACTCATAAAAAAACGTGCATGCCACATCTGTTTTTACAAATTCTCCACACTGATAAGCCGAAAATCTTTTGAAAGTGCTGACACCACCGATTCTGCTTCTTTATAATCCTTTATTGATAATTTTCAATATCCTTTGTAATAATTCAGATTGATGTTTGATGAAAACATTCAAATTAATTTTTTTTTGGTTCCAAGGGCCTAATTTGATTAAAACGATGTTTACCTTTAAACTAAAGTCAAATAATAGTTTGCAATCTTTTTTATATGCAGCTACATACATCTCAGGCTAATGTGAAAAGTTTTTCTTCATGTCTCCCAAATGTTGTGCCGATAAATGTAAAATAGCGAACTTTAGTGTTGGGGCTAGTAATATACTGAGTGTTTACAGACTTTGTGAGACTGTGTGTGTCTGATGCATAAATAAATCAGGGTGTGAGAACTCGATTGACACAAATATTTGTTGCAAGAAAAATATTTTTTAATACCTAGTGACCACAATAATACGAGGAAAGCTTTTTGAAACCGCTGGCCCCATCGATCGCTTATCTGTCTTGTTTACATGCATCTCTGTACATTTTCATTAGCAGCTTAATATGTTACCATCACTTAGGTAGCTTGTGTGAGCATACGTCCAAATTAAGAAGTGCTCCAGGGGGGTAAGGGGGAGGCCTTCTGTAAAAAATCGAATAGATGAGTAATTGCCTTCTAAATTTCCACTCGGGGGTTTTTAGGGTCGGGGATTTCGATTCTGACACTGAAAAGTATGCCCGACGCCCCTGCAGCCCCCCAGGGGGGCAAGGGGGGCTTCTGTAAAACATCGAATAGCGTTATTTTTTGAAAATTTGGTCGGCCATCTTGGATCCGCCGTCTTGAATTTTGCATAATTGACCTCGGATCAGTGACCCCGAAAACCCCCGTAAACCAAATTTGGCGCGAATCTGTTATTTTTTGGAAATTCTTGATGTCTGACCTTAATTAACCCGTTTTTTTAGGTTAGAACATTTGAATATAGAAAAAAAAATTATATTTTTCTTAGCACTTTCTCTGGGTGATTTTGGTTTAACTTGCCTGGACTAATACTTTATTGAATTACTCCTTATGAACTTAAATATAAACCACACTGTATATATACCTAAGGAAAAATTTTTGTTTATGTATTTTCTAGTAAAATACAGTCGCAATCTTTCCAAAAATTTACAAATTGGATAATATCCGCTAGTACCACCGCTGTTACATTCACATCCATCTGTTCCCTTCATATTATTTAAAAAAAAGCTTAAAATATTCAGTGTAAATACACTGATTAATATTACATTAAGAAATTAATGCTTAAAGAATAATTGTTTGTGCTGTGTAAAATATTTACTTCAAAATATTTATTTCAAAAGCGCGTATAATTATGACTGGCGCATTCGCCAGAAATTAAACTCGTGAATGTCTAATTTTTCACTTGCAAAAGATACCAAGTTTTAGTGGCAAATAATACATGACATAATAATAAGTTAACAGACAATGTGTGTTAATTTGAGTGTGACAAATTCTAAATACATACTTACCATTGGTTGCTGTTTAAATATCCGCAGCAGTTAAAAATTGAATAAGAAACGAATGAATTTAAAATGAATTATGCAAATTTATCATCATTTCTTTTTCTGCCAACACAGAAAACAAAAGTTTAAGATTTTCAATAAAGCTATACATCTACGTCAACCTCTTCAGAATTCCCTCTTTCCGCCTTTTAACAATACTGAGAAATATCTTGATCAATACGAAATTAAAGATGACAAGAAATCTCTGGAAGAAAATAAATAGCGCCAGCTGTATGCGCCAGATGTTACAATGAATTGGTTAAACATGTTTTATTTAATATCTTACTGGTAAAAGAGAATATTATAACAGCAAGCCAGAGACATTTGCTAGATACTATACGAACAAAGGATTTTTATAGCCTTTGGACTTGAACTAATGTTTATTCTGTACTAATGAGCTTAAATATAATAAAAATATGCAATTTACCTCAACAAATCTTATATTAATTAATAATTTATTTTAAACTGTAATTTGTAACCAATTATAAAGGTTACCTAGTATTCATATCTTCAAGTTATCTAGCAGAAAAATTTTGATGATAAATACCGATGAACTACCGAGTCTATTATTATTCATTCGGAAAAGGACATACCTACTTAAAATTGTGAATGGAAGCCTAAAATATGCAAGATTTATTAAAACCTGAAAGATTATTTACAAAGGACTCCGAAAATGGTGATTAAAAGGAGACCTTATGCTTTAATTGAATATTGTAATCGATTCATAACTGTTCCGCAGAAAATAAACTCGTCAGGTCGCATTACCTTTCTCCACGTCATTATACAATAATACAGTCATTGAAGCTGAAAATCAGCTGTAACCTCCGAATTATTTGAAACTGCATGGATTTGCATGAAAATTTAGAATAAGGCTCATCTTAGGCCCAAGTTCAAAAGTGACATAAGCCCGATTGACACTTTTTGTTTTTTAGGGCTAAGTGAGAAAAATTGAAAAAATTAAGTTTTAAGTATTTATTGATAAAAATCTTGTTCAAGCGCAAAGATTAAATAATGTTCCATGTTCTCGAACATGTTGTATGATATATTTGATCTTTTCGACCCTTTATTTAACCCTTAAAATTACCCTTATGCAAAAAATAAAAGTAGCAAAGCAAAAAAAATAAAAAACATAAAATAAAGATAAAAAATTACTTTTTAAAGATTTGAAATGATTAAATCGTGCAATTATTTAAAATAAAAGTTACCTTATAGCTAATAAAATAATTTTTCCCTTTCAACCCCTAAAAACCACCCCTGTATTGACAAAAATGATAAAAAATTACTTTTTAAAAGCTTGGAATGCTTTAACGGTGCAATTATTTAAAATAAAAATTTCCTCATTGCTTATGAAAGAATTTGTATCTCATAACACTTTTCAACCTTTATAAATCACCCCTGTGATAAAAAAATGATAAAAAATTACATTTTAAATCTTGGAATGCTATAATTGTGCAATAATTTAAATTAAAAATTCCCTTATTTTGTGTATGAAAGAATATTTTACTTTTGTCATTCTCAACTCTTCTAAACTACCCTTTTACCAATATTAATGTAAAATATTTTTATTACAATCGATTTTTAAATATAATCAATCATAAAAAAAATGCTACGGTGCAGATAAATAATCACACTAAATTTTTTTACTTATTTTATTTGTATAATATAATATCTATAATATATAAAAATGAGAAAGCCTATTTTGCTCCGAAGAAATGTCATTGGTTTTGTTACCATAACTCGGTTATTTTTTAAGCTATAGTATCCTACAAAAAATCATTTTAAAGATAATTTCAAGAGCTGTGAGATCGTTTGCATATAAAACCTTTTAAGTCCTTCGTTTTTTTAAGAGAAATGATCGAAGGGCCCGAGACAGGTCGTTTTTTCACTAATATGGATACTTCAAGCGGCGATATCTCCTTTATTTTTTATGCTATAGGAATAAAAAAAGCAAAATGTTTGTTGAAAAAAAGCTACATTTTTGTTGTCTATCATGTTTTAAGTATCTTTCATAGTTTTAAAGTTATTATATAAATAAGGCAATTTTTTTGAATAATGAAAAATACGTTTTTAACTTTTACCGTACATTATTAAAAAAATACGCATTCTAAACCGGTCTAACTTCAGGATCGTAAAAACACTAAATAAAACTAATTGTAAAGGGTCTACGATTAATTTTAATTCTGAAGGAAATGGTACAGCGTGTACTGCTCATTTTTCCTTAAAAAATATGAGCAACCCATCTGTTTTTGACGATAACTCCTTCAATTTTGCTCTAATTAACTTTTATAAGTGGTCATTTCGAACATCTTTTTGAGTACTACAAAAAACTCCAGGAGCGTTATACACGTAAAATTAATCATTTTTCCGTTATTTGACGTTGACTACATCTATTCGAGTATTCCTCCCAAAAAACTTTCCTTCCACTAACCATATTTCGCTTTGTATAGGACGTACAACACTTTTTAAATAACGATCTTCTTTGTTTATTTATAATCTACATTTTTGTTCATTACACTTTTTTAAATAAAATGCGTAGTTATTCGCGAAAAATACTTTGAAAAAGTGATTTTTTTTTCACGCAAAATTACAAGTTTTCAATCGTGAATAACTATTGATTCCTCGAAAAAATTCTTCGAATATTTTTTTGCTCAAAGTTTGATTCTCTATCGATTTCCTGCGTTATTTAAAAAATAAATTCCACCCTCGAGAAGGGTGTCAACCCCCAACAGGGTGGAAGCGTCAATCGGCGCTGTCACTAATGTTCATTGACCTTTTCTCTAACTATCTGCCAAATTTCAAGTCTATCGGTTCAGTTTCAAAGAATTCGGAGGTGAAAAGCTTCAATGACTGTACTACAATAACATGTACATGTCTCCTTATGATCTGAAGATTGGCATCGATCAATTTATTCGATACGTATCTAGCGGAAGGGACGTTGGCCATGAAATTCATTGGTCGAGTGTATGGAACGTGTTTTTATGGCAGTCAATAGCATTGTGGATTGTGAGCATAGAGTAGCACTCGGCTTCAACCTATTTCTTACTAGCATAATATAGATTACTACTGTTTATTTATTTGATTGTCGCCACAAAATTCCGATGTCTATTCACAATATCCAGAGCACTGTAGATCAATCTTATAACTTTATTATAGATCGTTGTTAGATAATATTTACTTCCTAGATTGAACCATTCATACAAAATATGAGATGAATATTTTTTGCCGTTTATATGAAACATGGGCATATCGGTGAAGCAACAAACGCTAAGCTGGCACCGCAGAATTTTCATTATCCTCTATTTAGTTTTTGTCCCTTTTTATGTCGGCTTCCATTAGGTAGATGTCTTGCCTCGTTGAGCCCACATAGCGGCAAATGACTAAATACCTAGTTTAATTACTTCGAAAAACAGTTTACGTTTTTAGTTAGTACCTACCCATTTAATAGTGACCTAGTTTGTCCTTAATTGATAATTTGAAATCCCGTATTACGAAAATGTTCAAAGGATAGGTGCTCAGAGAACTGAAATATATTTACCACATTTATTTAATGCTAAATGCTAAAATCTGTGTGCCTATATTTTAGCTTGGAATATAAATATTTCATCAGCGGAGCAAAAATGTTCTCACAATAAATTTCATACTACAAAATTATTCACTCAGTTCCTATTCATTTATTTTATTTCGAAAGTACATTGAATATAAACGTACCAATTAACGATGGTTTTACATATTAAGGATTTGTTGTTGTTTATACAAATTTTACCATTTATCTACTGATTCGAGTTTTAAAATATTTAAATTTGTTTTCAGTTGTTGGCAGTGAAAATAAAATGAACCTTTACTTGAAATTTTATAACAAAATTCTGTATATATTAATTTCCTTTTGTAATGCTTTATTTGTTATTAAAATTAGTCTTAACATATTCAAGTTAGATTGATTGCGACGGTTTTACGGCAACGAAGAATATTTGGCAAATATAGAGATTCTTCGATATGCACCATCCACACGATACGGCACTTTCTATTAGTTTCCTGTTAGTGTATCCAATTCAAACCAAGGATTATACCTTCTTACAAACCCGTATTTCTGTTGCAGGCAAAGCTTCGCAGAATGGTAGAGGAACACTCTGCTAACTTAACCTCTCGGATAGACTCCGACTACCCCAACTCTCTCCCAGCCCCTGTCCCCGGCCCCGCTTGCTTGGCGCAAGAACTGAAGCTGTCCGAATCGGCTTCTTCTTCGACCACCGCCGGTCAGGCAGACGCCAACTTCGTCAAACCCCTGCTTGGCTCAGAAGAGGCGGATACTAATGCTTGTGATGTAGATGTTAAGTGTGTTAGTGATAATAAAAAAGACAGTTACAAGTCGAACAGACCGAACTCCATCGAATCCAGAAGGAGTAAATCATTGTGTAACACCAGCTCGGTGGATTCCAACGAGGACGCTAAGAAGGAGATCAAGAAGACCAAGTCGAACCCCGTTAAATGCGAAATTAGTAACGTCGATACTGAGAAGACTGCAAGTGATAGTAAGGAGATTAGTATGACGATAGAAGAGAGCGCTAGTCCTTTGAAGGACAGTAGGTCCTCCCCAGAGAATAGATCTGACTCGCCAAAACCGGGGTGTAGTAGCCAACCAGATTTAGGTCAGTATTAAAAAAAATATTAGCCTTAGCATAGACACGTTGATACTGTATCTTAATCGAGCAAGTGATTATCTAAAACAACGTTAATTTGTCATGTTTGATCGCGATGACACGACAATAGTAAGAAGTATGATTTTTCACGTCAAATAAAAAAGAAATTTCGTTTCTTATTAGGCTGATGACACATTGGAGAAAAAATTTTAGTGAAACTTATTAAAAACACCAGTGAGTGAAGGGAAAAAAAATGGCAAAAGCATGATTCCGAATCTAGATGATACAATTATCAACTTCTAGAGCAGGTGTCCAAAATTTTTTTCTTAACCATTTTTTTTACGGTTTACCCACCAGAATATTACGTCATCATCGGAAGATATGCGTACTTATATTGTAGAAAACACATACCATGTGTCCGTAACTTGTTTCACCAGCATACTTTGAACAAGAAACAAACGTTCAAGTGGTTTGCTTCCGCTAAAATTTTCGAGAAAATTGTTCCTCCAGTATGTTACAGATGCAATTTATGTTACAGCATTTAATTCAAATAGCTAAATCCTTCTTCCTGGTGATTCTATTGACGGTTGATAATGACGAATGATGACTGGAAGATAACCTTTTGCAGGTTTGCATACAGATGTTATTTTCAAACGAAAACTAAATTAAATAGTGTCTAAAAAAGATATTTCATATTCCTAATATTGAAATCGACGTAAAAAATCTTCATACAAACTATAACTGGCAATATTTTGCAAGGTTTTATTTCATCTTGTATTTTTGAGCAATATTGACAGTAAAAACTCCAATAAATGTAGCAGTTGAAACATAAAGGATGTATTCGTACTTTTTCATAAGTTATAAATCTAAAAAGTAGATCGTAAAATGAACAATAAATTTCAATTTGAACGGAGCTACTGGATATATTACCTTGGCAGCACTGTTAGACTCATTGAAAGTTTTAAATTTCATCTTTATGGGGCGGTAAAGTTTTTATGGTTGGTTGAGGACGTTTGTAAGGGAAATTAGAGATTTATTTAGAGAAGTAAATTTTAATAACATTTTTTTCTTTCTGGCCATTACTCTTATTAAAAAACTGACTTCTTCAAAATATATTATTATTCAAATTATTTTTCTTTTATTAAGCATTACGGTTATCCAATATAAAAACAAACCATATACAAATTGTTGTTGGGTCAAAGATTTTATAAAAAAGGACCTGCCTGTATAGACAAATTTTAAATATATGACAAATTAGTGGTAGAAATCATTTATGAATTTTTGCGTTACTTAAAAACTAGTCTGACGTATAAGGGGCAATTGAACAAAAAGCTAGTAGCAATCCTATTGCATAATTTTGAAGAAGAAAATATGTCAAAATTGTCCATCAAACCCTGCTGCCCTGTTTCCTGTTTTTTAAACAAAAGTGACACTAGTGACAGCAGTCTATCAGTTAAGAGTATTTGTGATAGTTATTATTAATTTCCTGATTGTAATGGATTCCACAAAATTTAAGTGGTGTTTTGTTCCACATTCCACATAGACAATTCCATTATCTCCATAAGATTCCCGAATTGTACTATAAATTTCCATAAATAAATAGGTATTTTATATAAATAAACACAATAAAATAATTCGTTAAATATGTTGATCCTTACCTGACTGCTTTTATATCTCTCATTTCGCCAATATTAAAACGCTCGTGCTCGTCTCTTTTCAAAAATTCAATCCATGATCATAAAAATATCAATTTTCGGTAAAATTTGCGAAGTAGCTTTCACAAATCCCGATGCACACATTCTGCTTTAATTATAAGGGAAGCTATTAAATGATTATTACTAAATAATAATTTTACTTAATAAAGGAATTTCGAGATTAAGGAAAATAACGCGTAGACTTGAAAATATTTTATGCGACAGTATCACTCACAGACTGACACTACTGACAGTGTTGACAGAGCGTCTTCTTCCAATTTTTTTCCTTTACGCAATCATTTACACATAATTTCACTACAATGTGCCCCTTATGACGTCACAGCCGTTTTGAAATGTTATAAAAAAATCAGTATTAAATAATTATTTTAAAAACTGTTCTGACGCATTTCTCAATCTCTAATTGTGTATACACACTAGTTAGTACGTGTAGAATTATATTATCTACTTTTTGAAATTTGGTCAACAGCCCTATATTGAAAAAACCTTTTCAATTATAGCTACATAGTAATAGTAATTATTGCACCATAACTATTTTTAACCATATGTTAAATCAAAACTGAGAACAAACAGTAACATCTTTCTTAAAGAAAATAAATGAAAATATCAAATATTGGCTCACATGTCTGTGCTGATATGTTCAACGAAAATAGTTATCTTAACAGCATAAAAGTGTCTCCAAACAAAGTTAATACCATAAAACTTTAGTGCTATTTTCTCACGCTTTGACACTCAATGATCGAACGTCTCCCTTGTTCAACAAACAAAGTTAAGTCTCTATAAAACCTTTTTACATAATGTGAGTACCCGAAAACTGAAATATGCTCGTCAATTTGAGAAATAGAGCTTTTCAGCAATTTTTTATAGTCACGAGGAAAGCTTCACGTATTTGTAATTCCTCTTATTATGTTCTGTACTGTTGCTTCCAATTGATCAGTTCTCATTAAATCAGAGTTACTAGCAATGAGCTACCTGACAGTGTATAATATAATGATAGTACAAAGCAATGTCAGTTTCGTTTGTCTTTTGAATGAAGTAGATGCCTGTCATTTAGAAGATGCAGCGTCTAAAAATGAATTTAATAAATGGAAAAATGTTTTCATTTTATGAAAAATGGCATTCTTGTTTTAAAATTCTGCTTTTATCAAATGGTTAAAAATGTAGTTTGAAGTGAGTTACAAAAAACAAATTTTAAATTAATGTAGTTGTCACCATCTTCGTTATTCTCACGAATAAAAGTAGTTTTACTTAGAAAAATAACATTTTCGACCAAAGAGACCGATATTGATTAACAATTCCAGATCAAGCGTGAGCAGAATTCATAAATTCTTTGTTGCCGATACGCCTCATATCGGTGGCTTGTATCTGTAGACGCTACCCCAATATTAAATTCTTGTTCTCAGATTCCTCATCTCCACGTTCCCCCAGAAGTTCCGACGGCAATAGAGACGATCTATCAGCTTTAATACCTTCCCCATCGAACTATCCGAAATCCGCGACCGCGATTCGCAGGCTGCGGCTGGAAAACGAGCGGCTGCAAGCCGAGGTTACCAGGCTGAGGCGGCTGGTCGTGTCTGGGGCGACATCCGTGCTCTCGGAGAAGAAAACTCCAACTGAAAACAGCGATCCCTCTTCCAAGACACACGCCCTCGAGATGGAGTTGCAGCTGGCGAAGGAGGCGCTGACGAGTAAGTCGCAAAAAGCTTATTTATTACTTTTCAAGGAAAGTAAGAATACATTCGTCTGAAGGGGTGTTTGTTGCAAACGTACATGGCGAAGCATCCTTAGTTCTAAAAGAAGTTAATAGTTTTTTGAGTGTTGAAATCTGGAATAAAAGCACTGCGTCGATTCTGAATTTCTTTTGAGAATGACAAAATCACTTTTGAACATTTCCAGAAGTAAGATACACTGTGAGCAAAAGTTCCTGTTGACCAAAAAAACTAAAATAAATGAAATCAAATGTAGAATGTTGTGCTCGTCGAAGTTGTCATGAATTAACTTGTTGCAGAATAGTTTTTGTATTCCAGAACGGGTTTTTTACTAGCTAGGATCCCTTCTTCCTCAATTCAAGAGCAATGCTTTGCAATCCAGAACAAAAAATAACTATTAAATAATATTTCTACTATTTATATTTGCTGCGATTTGCTGTGATGTGATGCTACTTATCCATATCGTTCCAGTACGATCTCTTGAAGTTCTCCAAACGTTAATAAAATAAAACATTATTTGAATTTGAAAAAAATGTTTAAATTACCGATGTATTTCCAAACTATGTATTTGTATTCAACTAATAATTTATTTCCGTGAAACTAATCATTCTTCAAATTTAACTTCGGAATCTATATGTCCACAACTGTTCCCTCCAAGGCCTATTTGCACAGCTATAATTACTGCCAAATTATTCATATTGTAGACATAATATGCTGCTGTTGTACTTGGATCGGTTCAATAAATTAGTTCACTAGAACACCGAATGGAATTTCTCAAGCCAGAAACAATTCATAGCGTAAAATAGTACAGTAATTGAGTTTATTGCTCGGACAGAGCCGTACTTGGAATAATTTCCTTCTGCGAATCGATTTACAAGTAAAATGTTTCTGTGATAATAAATAGAGGACATTCCTGCGACACCAACAATTTCAGTAGTTCTTATGAGCCCGGAATACTTCCACTGGTAACTGAAAATATAATAGATTACTGTTTCGATTACCATTTTGTGTGGAAGTAAGTTCATTCTCATTATATCTCGGAATAGTGGTCTCGGAATGGAAGACACCATAGTAGTCCAATAAATGCGTAAACAGAAGTACATTTACCAGGACAATATATATTTTTACCAAAATTACATCAAAAGTAACGACTTACCGTGCTAAGACTTTTACCGTATCACTATATAGGTATTTAATTTCGTAGAATATACATGGCCTCAATCAAAATCTGCCTTTAGAGGTACCATTATATCACATATTTTAAATGTTAGTGTACTGAATTCTTAGTGAAGTGAACCGTGGATTCATCTATTCATTCATTGCGAATACACAAGAGAGATTTATTGTTGGGTGATGACATCGATAGCGAAACTGAATAACTTTTCAAAGTTAATTCAATTTAAAAAAAGTTCATCTTCCTTATAATTAGATATTAATTTTGGAAAGTATCTGGTAATAATAAAATATCTACATTTCAGCACTGAAGGCTGACAAAAGACGACTGAAAGCCGAGAAATTCGACCTGCTGAACCAAATGAAGCAATTGTATGCGACCCTTGAAGACAAGGAGAAAGAATTGAGGGACTTCATCAGAAGTTACGGGCAGGTAAGTGGGACTTATTTCGTTCATTTCGCCGAGGCCCAAATCCTTAATAACAATTAAACTGTTGTGAAATATTAATGTATTTTTTTGGACTTTCTGTTTTAATTAAGTCTACCTTCCGTGTTCCGGGAAACAGCGAGATAAGAAGTCAGAGACAAAGGAAATTTGTTTTAACAGAGTTTGCATTCGCTAAAAATAATCTTTTTCGGCAACCGTCCGGGAAGTGGCTACTTCCCGGACGCTTTTTCTTTGAGAAAGTAGCATTTTTTCGGCCTAGTCCGGGAAGAATCACATCGTTGTTGTTTATATATACCAAGCATTTCAAACAAATTAAACCCTTTCAATATTAGCAATTGCTCAAATTTTACTATAAATCTTAATATAAATAAGAATTAGAATGTTTCTGTTAGTACCTATCTTCTGTTCGAATTTCAATATTTAATACAAATAAGAATTAAAATGTTCGAAATTTTGTTCTACAAAAAAATATAATAAAGAAATGTGTCTCATTAATTTGTTATTCTACATGGTTGCCGAAAAAATAGTGTACGCAACACGTCCGAAAACAGTTTTTTTGAACTCGCAGACTTCCAGGACTCGCCTACGGCTCGTCCTAGAATTTTGTCAACTCGTCCAAAAAAACAGTATTTTCCGGACTTGTTACGTAAATAACTATTAAAAATGTCATGGAAAAGCTGAACTGGCAAACCAAACCATTGAAATGATTGTACCATAAACAATATTCAAATTATTTAGTTTAGTTTTCTCATTCTGTTCAGAAAGAAATTAAAATAATTATTGGATATTAATGAAAAAATAGAAATATTAATCTTAATACTCAAATATTTGGACTTTATTGGATACACTTATAAAGAATTGAGTTGTTGCAGCTTAAAGTCAGTATCAACTATTAATTAAGTCTTTTCAAATACTATTCGTATTTAATCGAAAGGTCGGTAAAATCGTTGTTTTTTTACTTTTAAAATTAAATACATATTTCTATATAAAATCCATTTCTATATAAAATTCCTTAAAAATTATATTTGCAGAGACTTCTGCTGACCTGAGTACAAGTTTAAAAAACCTATTTAGATAATATGAGCATCATATTACATATTTTTTTCACTTTAGCTCGTTGTGAATGTACAGTTAATTAAATAACCCCTTTATCTGTTTTTGTATGTAGAGTAAGACAAATTGGATTAGCTATTATAACTGTTCCGCGAGAGTGCAAATTAAATTATTTCCATACGAAAATAAAAAGAAGCTCGCGCACATATTGTTTCAGGCCCAGGAAATTCGAAATTTAGAGTGTAATTCTGTTGTTAGTACAAGTTTAATACGAGAACTAAGGTATTAGCTGATAACGAGTAATTTAATTAAATATTGCATACTATTTTCCTTGGTATCTACATTGCATACAAATGCAGTTATATCAGCTTGGAATGTTTCATAAGTATGTTATAAATGTTATAAATTCCTTTATCCTTTAGGTATTTCTGTCTGCCTATAACAGTTTAATAATTTCTCCTAGAACCAATATACCTGCCTTCATAAAAGGTTCTTTCAACTAAATCTGGAAGATCTCTTATTCAGGATATCCATTTCGATACCGTTCGACATCATATTATTTTCATACATTCTAACAAAGACTCACAAAAACCCTTAACATTTAACAAAAGAGAGATAGAATAAGGTATAACATCCTTAAAAATAGGACTGAGAAATTATTTGTTTATGCAGTATTGTTTCGTTTCAAGTCTTACTACTGTTAAAATAAATAATTGTATAGGATGGATTGTTTTAAGTGTAACTGTAGGATACAGGTTAAATGGAAAAACAATAAGCATCCTTTGCTTTTGTTAAGCGAAATTTAGTAACGCAAACAGGACCTATCTTACTCGACTTGATGAATAATTTTTGTCTAGAACTTTTTTATTTTTATTACTCCTTTCCTTTTTTATGATCTTTACAACAGACTGCACATAACTACTGAAGCTGAAACTCATCAACTAGAATGTGTTTCGTCTTTTATCTTGGTGTTTACACTGAAATAAACCTGCCTTCCGTTGAAAAACGGTTAAGTCGATGCTTTTAACTGAAATGAATTGATTTCGTTTTACAAGTTAATTTTTTTCATCGTTATGTTATGAATACGCTCAAAGATGACTTGATAGATCGGTCTCCAATACCTACTACCTATATAGAATAGAAATATCTCCAAAACAGTACGAGTAATGTCATTTACCGAGAATTTACAATCGATACTTACTTCCTTTTAGTTACATTCATCGCACCTCTAAAAGGAGCAGTAACCATTAAATAGATTTATTACAGTCCACATAAGCGTGAGAGCACTAAAATGTAGCTGCTGGCCATGCTTCAATGATGCATGCAACTATTACCTGTTCTGTGTGTTCCCTAAGAAGTACCTATTTCTAGGTGTAATATTGACCTGTTTTTGGTATGAGGTCCTGCCGTATGAAAGTATTGGTAGCTACTCTAAAACTGAGACAATTTAAAAACCAAAAAATTACAACAATGTTAGAAACTGAATTGAAATAAGTTCATGTATATTTTTTTTAACAAGCCTTTAGTGACGTCATTTTATTTTCGTATTCTTCTCAGCAAACGCTTTCATTTGATACCCATATCAAGAGGGTGCATAAAAAATAGCTGGTCCGCCATCTTTGGGAGTCCGCCATATTGGATTTAGAATGACGTCATTTAACTAACCATGCATTGTCATCCAAACTAAACGTGTATGCAAAATTTCAGCTCGATCGGTTGGGATAACTGTTTTAAAATTCAGTTGCAAGATTTGACCCAAACAAGGCAAGTTAAATAAAAGCTTGTAATATAGAATACACGTACGTAAACTGTATGTGAGCAAATGAATCTAGTCGAAAGCAAGCAAGATCCGTCGCCACCCATGCCGTGCAAATAGCCACATTGAACTTGTTCAAATTATTGCATTGTAAACAGGTGATTAGTTGACCAAGTGGAGCGATTCAGAGTCGGCCTCAGTTTTGCGTAATAATTGATTAATTTTTAGGAGCACAGGTATAAGCTGCTTAATGAAAATTGTTTATTTTCAGGTCCATTTTTATTCCTTTGAAGCACTTATTTCAAAAATATTTACTAATGAACGTACACTTAATCCTCATTAGGACTTCTTGGCCGTTTGGATTTTCAATTGTGAATTGCACATTCCACGGAAAAAATTCGAGAAGTTCGGTTCTGAAAACTTGTCGCAACGTCATGTTGCACCTTGTTACTATACAGACACATCATGAACCGTTACGTTACGTCAAAAATACACTAAATGAGAAAATTATTATTCAGAAAAATCTAGTTTAAGATTTAGAAGCATCATAGTGACTTAATTATTGGTGATGTGTAAAAATTACATACCATGGAAATACAAGGCAAACGATTACATTTTGTTCATCACATTTAAGAGGATAAGAGGACCATTATCCTCGTGCGTTAGTCACGCTAAATAACACCCCGCCGTTTCTAGACTCAAGTTTTTTTTACGAAACTACACGCTCCAAAGAGGCACAAAAGGGTAGTTCCTCTGCGGCACTTTGTATTCCACTTGAGCGTCAATTTAACAAAAATATACTTAAGAGCCGGCATAATTTTCATTTATATTTTATAGACTCCATCAGTTCTTGTCATGCCCATCTACCTTCCTAATTTGTTTCAGCGGGTGAGGGATAATGAGACCTCATTACAACAACTTTCCACTGAACGCGAAGAAAGAGAACGAGAGAGGTGGAGTCTGCTCAGGCACGCCAGGGATGAGGCAGAACGCAGCCTATCACTTGCCGCACAGCTTAACGCCAAGGAGTTGCAGCTTCAACAGGCACAGGAGCAACTTCAAGAAGTAAGATTGTTCATAACGTCATTCAACTTTTAAACCACCGTTTATCTAACTGCATTAGCCATTCGTATCTGTCTCATCTTAACATCAGTCCACTTTTAATACGTTTTATAGTACATTTTGTTAGTTTAGAAAGTAGTTATTCAGAGTGTAAAATACATATAAATAAATTTCTTTCTTTTCTGACATTTTATCATCGCTTTTTTTTTAATTATGTTCTAATTTATCTGATACTGTGGTTGAAGGGTGGTCTGCAAAAAGTAAAATGTACGTACGTCGTTGTTATGTCATCTAGATCATTTATATACAGCAAGAATAGCGCAGGCCCCAACACTGACCCTTGTGGAACTTCCAAATTAAATTGTTTTATAATTCATGTCAAAATTTTGCAATGAAGAAGTTGCTAAATAAACGAAATGTTGGCTCAGTAACAGTGTGATTCTTATTCGTTTCGTTATAAATCGGCCGATAAATTAGAAAGTTAATTCAAAAATTCTGTAAACTACATTTTAACTTGTCCAGGCTCGCAGACAGCTAGCATCTAGCGGTTGCTTGTCAGACCAAGAATCGCTCGCATCACTGCCACGCCACAGCATCAACGGGGGGGCTCTCACCCCCGGTTCTGGGGGCCTGCTCTCGGGGCACCACGGCCTAGGGCTGTTGCCAGGTGACCGCGGAAGTTGCAGCGCCGATTCGGGAGTACGGGTGAGCTCCGATCGCGAGAGTGGCGCCACTTCCGTCGCTGGCAACCTCTCGGATTCCACCACGGACGGCACGCCGACCATCACAGTGGAAGGGAGCAACAGGGAGGTCGACGCGGTGTCGGTGGTGTCATCGGTACCTCCCCCGCACATGTACCAATGTAAGTACGGTCCGTAGGATGTTTGCTGAGATAGAATTCCGAGAAGACCTCTGCGTCGCTTTCTTGGAATTAACCGCATTCGACACCCGAAAATTTCAAGGCACGCCATTGTCGCTGTAAATTGTTACAGTAGTTAATTTTCTTGGAATTCTGTATCAACAGATATTGTCTATTCTTTTAAAGCTGATTTACATTCGTAAATTATAAAGCAAAGTACGTTGTTATTAAAACAGTGTCGCCCACCATGACTATTCTCACTTTCTTGTATTATTATTTAATATATTAAGTATATCATTACAATTCTGCTGAATATAAAAACATGAAATAAACTGTATCTTGTGCATTGCAAGCAAATATTTTAATAAAACCAGTAATTTAATCACACCCCTTCGAGCATCATTAATTGAACAAGATCCCTGCAAGTCCGCCGTTAATTAATTTATGTATTATAACTTGTTACAATAATATGATCACTGAACATTGTACATAATCTATCAAAAGCGCTATACTCGGTTGACGACAAGGCATTTAATCTTGCTGGTCGTTACAAAGGCGGTATTATTGATAATGATATCCACAATATCGTGTATCAGGGCTAACCGATGTAATCCCCTTGTAAACACAGGAACACGTCTAAAGTGGTTCGGCTTACATGTAGGTTGTTAGCGGATGGATATCTTCACATTTCGAATCTATTCCAGAAGGTAGTGTTTAGAAAAGTATAATTATAATTTTATTTTACTTCACTAATAATGTACTTATGCTACAATAGTTGTTTTATAATCTGAAAATATAAATTAAATAAACAAGATCCCTAGGAGAGAGAAAGTCGAATAATACTAAGTTTAAATAAAAAATAGTTATTTACACCACAATAGTCCTTTCCACATTCATATCCATAAATTAGTCAACTCTTGAAATATTACCTCGAATAGAATTTAATCGTTTTTGTTCACGTTTTCATAGAACATTCAAGCCAACTACACTTACGAGTAACAAATAAATTGCTCTGATTTTTTGGACTTCCGAAAGATCAACGATATCAGAATAATCTTACCAAATTTAGAGATAAATCTTTGTGAATGACACAGACGTAATGAATAAACTGTCAAATAAACTTTGTACAATAATTCGATTCAATAAAACTTCGCATTAGTGTCCTCTCTAAGATTTGTCTGAAAGATTTTTTAACGCTTTATCTGACGATTATTTGGTACAATTTATCGCTCCAATAAGTCTTTGCATGTATATTCAACTTATGATTCCTAATAAGATTACACAGTTTTTGAAGCTAGAGCATCCTGAAATATATTCATGCCATTCAGCCCGAAAAACATCGGCAACGTTACTGGCTAATACAGGGGTTGATGTATTAGCAATCAAGAAATATGGTGGGTGTAAATCAGCCACAATTGCAGAAACTTATGTTTAAGAAACAAAAATGAAATAGTCAACAGGATTCTTTACAATGACGTTTCAACTGTAGGTTCTAGTAGTACGTCGCAGCATGCTGTTCTAATGGATCAGTCAGATAATATTGAGCCTCCGGTGACTGAAATGAAGCGGTCAAATCATTTTGAGAAAAATGTGACAATTAGTAAACGCCAGGGGAATAATTATCCAGATTTTTACTAAATGTAATAACTGTACAATTACTTTAAAATGTAATGTTCATCAAATATTTCTATTTATCTGTTCATAAAATATGCATTTATAATTCGAAATCGCTTTTTTCCGTAGGGAAGTAAGTTACCTCACTTACCTCCCGTTGTCCATAGCAACTTCCACTTCTACGGTAAAATCCACTTACCTCTTAAAAACAATGTATTAATAGCCTATTTACTATAGTGGGAGCAGATAAATTAAGTTTTTCGCCGATTGACATTAAAGGCGTGCCTTGGCTGCTTTAATAGACTCGACTACGCCTCGTCTATTAAATATCAGCCGCTGCTGATCCTGTACTGTACTGTCTAGTTAAGCAACTAATTATTTAAATATTATTAATGTAGTTTAGATGAAAACATATCAAAAGCCGTGTAATAGTGTACCTAGATACTGCATAACAGACTAATGTATAAGTAGAAGTAGCATTAACCAGCATGTCTTACTAATACCTTTTTGCAGCAGTATCAACAAAAGACTGCAGTCCAACCCTATCACCTCTAAACGCTAACAATTTCTCCAGATCTGTAGACTCAGCTACTCTATCCAGGTAAGCAATCTACAATACATTAAAGTTTAATCCAGTTTGAAGTAGATGGCGTTTATTAACCGCATTGTATTTTAACTTCTACGTGAGGTTCCGCTACAAAGTAAGTTTAGACCCGTTTGAAGTTCACTAATGTCATTCACTTTTGAGTAATAATACTTACTTTGTGATTAGACCTCGTACAGTGTTATGTTTTTCAAAGTAAAGGTACTATTTTCAGATCCGTGGAACAACTTAGCTCTCCCTTAGAACCAGAACCAATTACGATAGGTAGAAGGGTCAAGCAACCGACTAGGCCGTCAAGCGGTCGAGGTGGTACCTGGGGAAGTATATCCAGGGTGTTTGCCCGCTCGAGACATAGAAACAAAGCCAGCTCATTACAGGAAACAAGTGAGTGACTTTTAAAATATCGTTTGTTAGAATAAAAGAGTTACTATAAATGTATCACATTGTATCTTTCAACCAATCAGATACGTTGGTGGATCCTCTTCTCCATGTAAGACCTTATCTTTAGAAATAGCCTTGGTATTAAATCCTTAGAAATTTAAACATAGGCCATACGTAATTATCAAGACTATTAACTGCCAAGGTTATCGCAGCAGGGATTTCGCTTCAATTGATTTCCAAATAGCAATTTAGTTTAGGTCGGTTCTGACCGTAACTCAAATATGATATTTCATCCTCGATTGAGTCTGCATAACTTTGTGTTCGAAACGATTTCGATCCTAAATGTTTGCTAAGCTATCGCAGAACATGGGCTTTGTTTTAATTAACAGACGTTGATGTACTTTTAATAACACTATACCAGTCTTATCTCTTTCTTTCTTTATACTACACTAAAGACACAGGGTAGAATCTGAAAGCTTGCCTACTACAGCTTGTCAATTTCTAAGCTCTTTCGTAATAGTCTAGGAGCCAGATAGGGTTCCGTAGCCAATCAGAGTGCCACGGCTGCAAACAACTGATTCTTAAGTATTTTGACCTCCTGAATCCAAAAAACTTGGTCGCAAAGACTGAAATTGATCAATTTAATTGTTATTAACAAATTAAATGTTTAAATGGCTGTAAAAAGTTTATTTTTATAGCTTGTACAATTTTTTACACATTAATAGTTACTTTAACCAAACTTATTGCAAATTTAGTGTAAATATCTTACACTTTCCGTCACCGCGCGCACCAATTTTACTATATCCCTGGTTCTATTGGACGAATTGAGACGCATGACATCTCATTTTAAAGCTTGAACTTTGTTTTACAAGATGGGTTAGTTCCATTTATTAATTTATTTATTTAACAGTTGATGGCAGCTTAGAAAGTTGTGAAATTTCATATAAAATTCTGGTTTTATTTGTTTATAAGGCTTTTTTTATTATTCAACTTTGATGAAAAGTCAAAAAAGTTACCGGATATTGTTCCTCGCATCTTAACAATTATTTCATGCCTTACAGTTATTAGTTTTTCTTTATCAAAACCCGTAAAGAGACGCGCATAAGTCGAGTGACGCACGCGCGCTCGATCGGAAGCTCAGAGTGCAAGAGCGCGACGTGCTATAAACTTTTATTATTAAGAAGCCACAAAGATTAAATAATAAAAAAGCATTAACAATTGATTTAATTACTGATATTTCTAAGATTCACATAACTAATAACAACTATTTTTAAAGATTTTAATTAATTTATTTCTTTTTTAATAGTGGACACATTATAAACATTTTTGCAGGTGCTTTGCCTTTGGCAATAGCAAAATGAGCAACATCTAATTTCTGCAAACACATGATTTTCTAGAGCATGTGCAATTAGTGATGAGTTCATCTGGTGGAGGAAGCAATATTTGTATTTTTTATGGAGCAAGCACATATCTCCATCATGTACCCAGCTATAAAAATAAACTTTTTACAGCCCTTTAAACATTTTATTTTGTTAATAACGATTAAACTGACCACTTTCAGGCGACCAAGTTTTTTGGATTCAGGAGATCAAAATACTTACGACATGGTTGTTTGCAGCCATGGCACTCTGATTGGCCACGGAACCCTATCTGGCTCCTGGACCATAAGAAAATATACACGAATATGAAATTCATACTTTTCAAGTTTATAAACTGAAATGATCAAGTATAACTGTAATGTCAATCGTGAGCCATCTGACATAGCCGTAGTTTGTTAGACACATTCCGTTTCATACTGTTGTTATTCAAAATAATAAAAATTTACTGAAGAAGCCAAAGAAAGTTTGTTATAACATACGAGTACTTGAGATAATGTTATGTTTCCATAATATTTAACATAATTTTCTTTAAATCTTTGTTTGTGAGCAATATTTAGATGTATCAGAAAAGGGAGAATTTACTTCATATGGAAAACAAAATAAATTTAATTAGATATAATACAGTTAACAACAATAATGTAGAAATGTGCTTACATTACTCACAGAAACCACGTGTTTTCTGTAGCAACAACTTCATAAAAGTTACGAGGTTTCAAAGCAAGACATCGATAATAATAATTTATGTATCATTTATCAGAAAAAAACTATCCATAAAATGGAATCCTTCCGCATTTCTAACATTTATTTTCGACAGCATGACCTTTAGTGCATGCCAGTTCAAGATTTTCCTATATATTACCTTAAAAAAAATTTAGGTGAACATAGTTATGAGCCGTACCGCAGTTGGTCACCCCTGACGGAGGAAGGTTACGCAGAGAAGCTCCGGTTATTAAGGGAAGCCAGCAGTATTCCGATGGAGAGATGGAGGGCCCCCACAGTGCTGGCGTGGTTGGAAGTGGCGTTGGGAATGCCTCAGTATGGGGCCAGATGTGCGGAGAATATTAAGAGTGGAAAGGTAAAGGAAATAAAATAAAAATATAAGGGATAGGTTTTTATCCCGGCTGCTATTGGCAGTTGTGCGAAATTGGGGTGTGCATTACGAAATTATGATGGAAATTTTCGTGAGCGGAATATTTAAATTTGCGCAAATTAGAGTGGTAGATAGATAGATTTACATTTATATCAGTAGTTCAGGAAAAATGTGTCGCGTAACTATATTCATTCTGTTAGATTCTTTCATTATCACTGCGAAAAAAAATTGACAAACTTTAGCATATTATTCTTGTCATTTTTTTTAGCTGGACAAGGTGTTTAGCTTTTAAATTTGTTTATCCAACACTTGTATATAATGATACTATATTTTTTTTTAGTTTTAAAGGAATAATGTAGCCTATAAGTCACTAGTGACATAGAAATCATAAAAAGACAAATATTTGGTTTATTTTTCTAGTTCTTATTAGAAAACCAATTGGAAACAGTAATAAGTCGATAAAAAACCTAAAATGCTACAAACTTACAATCTACCTACTTATTAATATTAACATTAACATTTATGGTAAAGCCGTAATTTGATGCCAAAGGATTATTGGAATCATTTTGTGATTGTGGTAAATTTATAGAACAGGCTGCCCCTTTGATTGCTTCAGGAGTCTTGTATCTTTTTAGCAATATCAATTTTGCTGGAAATAGACTCTTCTATATAACCTTCTGCTACGGTAGATAACTTCCATCTACCGTGGCGTTTGAGTGTTGTAATATCCCCTCCAGCATTAGCCAAGAGAGTTGTAGATGCGTGACGCAAGCCATGCCCTGTATATAAATTAGAATCTGTCAAGCCCAAAAATCGCGAAACAACATTAGGGATATTTGATAGCTTATTAATACCAACACATTGACGTGTGCATTTTCCCTTTTGAAAATTGCAAAAGAACCTGTTATGCTGCACATTTTGAGGCCTTACTTTATAATATTTTCTAATTAATTCAATTGGATTAACACAAAATCCTTCATTTAACACAGCGAAGCTTCTTGGTTTGTTGGTTTAGTATTTGAAATCATGATGTGGATATATTGCCCTTTGTCCTTTATGTTGTCTATGCTTAGATGGGTCAATTCCTCGCAACGGCAAGCGCCAAAAACTCCTAATACCAACGCTACTTAAAAACAACAAATTTAATAAATATAAATCAGTCAAACTATTCAGTAGAACCTACTTAATTCATAAGATGATCTTCATCTAGGGCTTCAGGCAAAAATTGTTCGATTTGTTCTCTTTCTAAGACCTTGTTTTTTTTGGTTGAAAATGTTTGTGCTTAGACTTTAGAAATGCCACCAGTCTTCCGAATTTAGAAATTTCAATGTTCTTGTAAACTCTCAATGTTGACTTTAACATGGAATATTTAGTCTACAATGTGGATGGAGNGAAATTTCAATGTTCTTGTAAACTCTCAAAGTTGACTTCAACATGGAATATTTAGTCCACAATGAGGATGGAGGTAATTTCTCACTTAAATTGAATAAATAAGGCAGCAAGACATCTTCATTTACGCCTTTCACTCCTTGTTTGATTTTCCAATCTTGAAATTCCTTGAGTTCTTTGTTGTATGTAGATTTTGATTTATCCGGACTGACTCCTGCAGTAGCCGCATTAGCTTTTTCTAAAATTTCAAATGGTATTTCCACATTTTCCATTTTTTCAGTCTTGGTTTTAGGATTTCAACATGATTACAACTCAAAAAATATTGTTTATTTACAGACACAATTTAGGTTGACACTCGTATCCTTTGTAATATTTAAAAATACATTCATTTCGTTAAATTACATTTTCTGACATTGACAATTTGAAATTTGATTTATTATTAAAACGAAATTCTGTGAAAGTGTTGGATAAAATTTTGTATGGCACTTGTGTGTTACGTCATATAAGTCACTTGGGAAAATTAGCTAAACATTTCCCAGCGTGACTTATATACCGTAGTACCAAAAATAACTATTTTAATTTGATGTGATTAATAATAAAAATTTACCTAGAAAAAAAGTATTGCTAATAATACCGTTATTCGAGGACCACTAGTTTACTTAGAGTATAGATGACACTGTTACTATTTGGACCAATATCTGTTGTTCAGGAAATGAGTCATTCAGACTTTAATTTCTGAGGATATTTAAAAAATTTTGCATCCGAGAGAAAATTCAATAATGTTAAAATACTATAATACATTTAGTTGTAATAATAACACCAGTTTCAATAATCTTATTTGCTAGCCACAACTGGCTATATCCAGTAATTTAATGACTTACTGGAAGTGAACTTCAAATTTCAATAAACACTACCAGCCACAAGTAATACTCGTATAACCATTTCAAAACACCTGCAGCATTAAAAAAATACGGTAATTCTTTTGTTTAGCATATTGCTAAAGTTTAATTGGAGAGGTGATTACTGTTTACAACTGTGAAAGGAGAAAAAATTTGAATTATTTGATATGAAGACAGCAAATAAAAAATCTTGCTTAATATTTATGATTTCTAATTTCAAAGTTTTGAGAAAGCTTAATTTTTTATATTTCTGAACAGATACGTATTGTATCTGAAATTTTATTTGTCATTACTTACTTCTGTAAATTCGGAAAAGTTAATTGGCGTTGGCGATATAATATTCCCATTGTACATACATATTTTTAGAAATTTCCTCCTTTTCTTAAAGAAATATTTGGAAAAAATCTAACAGAAACTTCCTTCAAAATGTCCTTTCTAACATTTAAATAACGGCAATAAAAATCTTAAATTGGACTAATTGGCTTACTGGGGACATTCCAATGGGAGAAAGCATGATTGTATGAAAAATCTTATAGATTGGTCCTTTGCATGGCCAGGTCCTCTTAGAGCTCAGTGACTTGGAACTAGAGTGCGGACTTGGGATTACCCATCCAATGCACAGGAAGAAGATCCGCCTAGCAATCGAAGAACACCGCCATCCAGCGTTGGTCCGATATCCGTGCATTGCTCAACTTGGCCACACCTGGGTCTCCAGCGAATGGCTACCGGATCTGGGACTGTCCCAGGTAAGGTTATTTGATTTTTACATAAATATCCATGGTGTCACAGGTGACATATTTCAATGGAATATAGAACACAACTAATTCTTTTTATACCGAGAGATCTAAAATGATTGATGGCCCGCTTCTTACAAATATTTTGTGTGCCGCTCTCCTATTATTTTCACTCTTCATAGTTGGCAACACTGACAGTGATTTCCTTCGTTCAGTGGCGCGTTAAGTGCAGTGGCGATAGGGTCACATATTCATCTAATCACAAAAATACAACACAAAAAACAGAATGTTGGCATTAATTAATTTGAGAGGTTTATTAATTTATTAAAGGAATGGAATAGATAAAAATGGTTTAGGTACTATTATTATTGTTAACCTCAAATTATTTATCTATCTTGTTTTTTTAATGCGAAATTCAAAGTAAAAGTAAAAACTTTTAAATGAATTTATATTCACATTCCTCATTTTGAAAGACGAATAAAAATTCGATTTAAAATTTCTTAAATTCTAACAAAATATTGTCACCTATAAGAAAATTTAACATAATAATTGCTTTATTGGTTTAAAGTTAAAATTAAGTGAATATGTACCTTTATTTTTTTTCCCCAACATTATGTCTCTACCAGTAATAATAATTTTTGTAATTAATTTGTTATAATATCTAACAACTATTTAAACATTGAAATGAAGATTAAAAATATATAATATTCTTAATCACAATTTATTTATAATGAATGTTCAAAATGTCTGCCTTTGTTCTGAATACATAGATTTACTCGTCTTCTTAAGGGCCCCATATTATTTAAATAGTGTTTTCTGCAAAGATAAATAATTTCAAACATTTAATAACTGAATAATCTAAAGCTTATCAAATAATAGGAATGTTATGTCATGCCATCTGGGTATTTTCAAAGACGCCGCAGTAAAACGAATAAACAGGTGCAAAAAACGATCAAACCATCAAGGTTTTAGGTACTGAAATCTACGAAAATACTAACTTTTTTATATATAATTCCACATACAAATATTCTTAATACATTTACTTGCTTAGTCCTACATATAAAATTGTTTACTTTTATTTGTAAGTACGTGAAAATAATTCTTAAAATGTGGGGTTAGAATAACAGCAAACGCATGTTTTACAAACGCTTTTTTTTAGTTATTACTTTATTTGAGTAAATTTAAATGGTAACAATGAATAAACAAAACATCAAGGATTTTATTTTTGTGCTTACTTTTGTTCTACACGTTTTACTTTTAAAGATTTCAGTACCTAAAAACGCCAGAAATTTCACTATTTCTCGGCCGGGAATATGGCCACCTTAAACTGTTATGTAATTCATTTTCTGTAATATTAGCTAATTTATTTGTTATAGCGTTCTTTTGTTCATCCACTGGCTGTAAACTATCTACATATATGGAATTCTTTAATGTTCTAAAGACATGATAATTTAAGGGAGTTAAGTCCGGAGATTTTGGAGGCCATAAGTCTCGACTAATAATGCGATCGTCATAAAATTCTCTTAGAAACTTCAGTGATGCGTTAGCTGTGTGTGCTGTTGCCCATCTTGTTGAAAGAGATTTCTATAAGAGATCATTTGTATTTATTTTAACCTTGACTTTGTTATTTTTTAAGTTTTCTGACTATTATACATAAACCAAACATTTTTTTTGATATCCACAACTGATTGATTGATTTTTTAAAAATATTGCAGTACTCAGAGAGCTTCGCAGCGAACATGGTCGACGCAAGGATGCTGGAACACTTGAGCAAGAAGGAGCTTGAGAAGTACTTGGGAGTTACAAGGAAATTTCATCAGGCATCTATAGTGCATGGTATACATCTTCTACGTATAATGAAATACGACAGACAGGTAAAGTACCGCTATTACTCAGCAGCAAATAAAAAATAGAGACGTGTATTTCTAGGCACTAGCCGTACGCAGGCATCAGTGTGAAAATATGGATGCCGATCCGTTAGTCTGGACGAACCAGCGATTTATCAGATGGGCGAGAAGCATCGATTTGGGGGAATATGCCGATAATTTAAAGGGTAAGGTATATTTCAGAGATTTGCAGTCACTTTACGTTCCGTGTTATTGCAGATAGTGGCGTTCATGGTGGGTTGGTAGTATTAGAGCCATCGTTTAATGGCGATACGATGGCAACAGCCCTGGGAATACCAGCAAGTAAAAACATAATAAGAAGACATTTGACCGCCGAACTAGAAGCTTTAATTTTACCGGCAAGGTATGTCATTTTCTGCCAAATGGAAGAACTCCAAGCAGAAGCAGCAAGAGTTATATCCAAACATAACAGATAAACAATCAATGAAAAATAATAGTCACAATTTGTTTATTGCCTAATATGATGGTTTATTCCTGAGCTTTTGAGACACAGGAGGTACCAGTTTATTTTTCATTTGTGTCAATTGTTTATTCTATTTAGCAATTGTTTACATTTTGTAATGTTTTTTATATATTTCGTAGAGGTCCAATTAAATCATGAACCGCACTTTCTGTGTCTTAAGAACTGTTAAATTATATACTAATTTAATAACTGTGCAATACTAACAAACATTTTATGACTAAGTTAGCGTTAAACTAATCAAAAACAATTTGCCTTTATTAAATCAAATAATAGTACTTACCTACTTCATTTATAAATAGTTTAAAAATAAAGGTTGTGAAATGTAAAAACTTTTTACTCCTCTTACATGACACACCTGGGACACATTACACAAACATTCTATGTTATTTTGTTGCTTTTTGCTTTGCACCGCCAATCTCGATGTTAGAGCACAAACATTCTCTCCTTGCCTAGATTTTTTATAGATGTTTCCCCTTTTGAATGTTTAATGTTCAATCATTTTTACTGCATGTCTAGGTGTTAGACTAGAATAACGTTTTCTAGGCGTAACACTTTAGGTTTAGGCTGTTTCAGGGACATAAAAATACGTTGTTGATGATACAACGAATCGTTTAATGGTTTTCTGCAGGTTGTTTTGGCGTCAGAGTGCTAGAAATTTTACTAACTCTGCTTAACATCGAAATTAATGTAAAATACTTTAACATATTAGTTTATATCGGTGTTGTATGGAAAAAATAATGCTTACATTCGTTTTTATGATATTTTTGTAAATTGTATAAAACCAATAACCTATTTGATACAAAATACATTCAACTACACTGATGTTACTACAGGGAACATAATATTTCTTTTTTATTTAGTTATATTTATAGTATTTAATATTATTAATCGCAATAACAAAGAGATAAATGTTGTTAACCAAGACAGTTCCACTATAGCACGTTTTATTATTGAATAACGTATTTGAAATTTAAGTAAATAATAATACTGCTTGATTTTATTTAACTAGTCGTCTTAAAAAATTTATTTGCTATTGTGCTAACCAATTGTTCAAACTTTAAGTTGCAGAAAAGAGTTTGAGGGTACTTGAAAATTTATTTTTAATAGTCGTAAGTGAAATGCATAATAGAATAACTTTATTTACAGAGAAACTATAGAGGATGTGTCGCCAGGAAACACATAAACTTTAAGAGAACATTTTTCTGGCATGAATAACCAAAAAACTTTTTATAGCCTTTGATCCGCATAGCTTCTCAAATAGAGGCCTTTTTTATGTTTCAAAAAACGCGTAACAAGTCTTACAAAATTTGATACTTACATTTAGTATTTACAAAATCGTACTAGTTTTATTATTTTACATTTGATTGCCATTTTTTTTAGAACCTATATCTAAGAAAATGTGTATTTCCAGGCTACAAACTTCACTACAGTTTTTTGGTTATTTTTACCCAGGGAATATACTCTTAAAATTTTTGCATTTTCTCATGGAACATCCCATGGTTTTTATTTAAATTCAGTGACCAATAGATCATCGTTAAGAACTTTTCATAAACAGAATGGTATTCCATTATTTGTACAAGTTATCAAAGAAACATTATTAATTTTTACGGGTGGCAACAATTTTGCCAGAACACCATCTGCAGTGTAATTTTATATAAATGGATAAACAGAATTGACGTTTGCCATCGTTTTTGTCCCGGGATCATACTACATCAGCGTAAGCGGACTCTAGCAACCAACCGACATAGAATGCTTGTGTTTCCCGCACTGCTTATTTCAATGTTTTGATTTTGCACTGTTATGCTAGATCCACACTAGAGCACTATGTTCGAGTCAGGTCCAAATCGAGGGTTCCAGGAGGCTCTTTGGGGCGGTCGTTTTCGAGGTCGTGCGGAGGGCTTTCTGCGCCTCCCCCAGTAAATAGAGACTTACTTAATGCGGACTCGCGTAGAACGAGCATCAGGGTAAGCATTTTTTTCTCTTGTACTGTTCGGTAACTCTATAAAGGCCATGTCTATATAGAAATTTAAATAACTGTTATGGCTTTTTCATCACAAAAAGTATGAATTGAATTCAGCAAAATAATAATAAATACACTGAAAACTATATTTTAAATATAACATTTCGTTTCCTCTCTAGATACTAACTAAAACTAATATTTTTAACATAATTTTCTATTCTTTCTTACACAGCTCTGTACAGTTCTGAAGTTTATCGATCTTTTTGAAAAAGGTACAGTTTCTCATAAAATTTTCTTAATAAAAAAGTAGATCAAACATTCAGTAAATGTTTTTTTGTTCTTCATGTTTAGACTTATGAATTTAAACCGGAAATTTGCTTTAATTAGATTTTTTAATGTAATAATTATTATCGAAGAAGTTTTAATATTTGTTTGAAGAGCTACTTATTTTATATCTGTACCAAAACTCCACAGCTTTATACGACTTGTGAATTAGAAATAAATGATAGTATCACTGATTAAAAAATTAAAAACAAAATGAATGCGATTTGTTTGCTCTTGGATTTGTATCACTTTTACTACACCTTTTCTAGATTTCAATATCACTTACTAATTTTACTTTCGTAAAGTATTACTTTTGTTTTAGATTAAACAGTTTTATTTCAGAAAATATTAATTTATCAAAATTCATATCTTTGACTTCAGTTAACTTCAATAAGCAAATTGTTTTTCTGAACAAATCATTTGTATTTCAGTTAGCATCAAATGTATTTCAAATAAAAATATTAATATATCTTCTGTGACAGCCATTTGGCAATGAAGTCCCACTTTGCGTTTAATGGACTGAATTGGAATATTTTCTGTCTATTCTGGGTGTAATTTTGGTTTTCCACACCATTTCTTTTGTGGTCTAATGCTTCACGTTCACGCGAGATGTCATAGGACCCATGGTATGCTGGACATAATTGAGTCCTGCCTGATCATGGTAGCTTCTTTCTTGATTGTTATTTGATAAAGGTCCTACCAAGGTAGATTCTGATTGATGAGTTGACAGAGTCTTCCTAACTGAATATCCTCAAACCTTAATATGATCCGTCAGAGCTTCAGTTCTGACGGACCCATTCAGTTCTGAGTTCCCATATTGGTTTAGACTATTCCTCGAATTTGTCAACGTCTTCAGAGATGCTTGACTTGTGAGAACATTGACACATCTATTATTATAGGTCCACATTAAGTGGAAAGTGGAGAAACTAAAGTTTCTCATTTCATTGAAAATTCTAGCACCACTACCCTGCTATGTTTTTGACTTGGATTCGTGGTTGAAATTTGAAATCGCCATTCCCTTACCAATTCATTTGTTACTGTGTTTATATATTGTCATCTATATTATATGAAACCATAGCAATGGTCTAATGAAATTATTTGTAACATGAGTTTACGTAGATATAGGAATATAATGGCACGATGCTGATTAGACTTTTTTAGATATTTTTAACGAATTCTGAAGCTATTGACAATAATAACACCCTTTTTTCAAGTTTTCCTGAACGAACTATTTTGAAATACAAATGACATTCTCTGAAATATCTATCTCTAATTAAACATTCTAATTATACTGCTGAAATAAAATTAATCAACCTGAAATACAATTGATGCTTATATGAAGGCTATATAAATACTTTCGTGCTTCTAAATCTTTACTTTTTGTATTTCTATGGTTTAAACCAACACATTTTTCATTTTTATTAGAATCACCCAGAAATAAGCTGCAAACTTTTAACCACCATTTGAATTTTAAAAGGCAGCAACTTTTGTTCAATATTTTTCCTGAAAAATTCTTAATTTTAAACAAATACCTATATATTTATAAATTGTTATTACTTGCTAAATGTTTGAGTCGATATTAATTAATAAATAAAAACACATAAAAGTGAACTAGTCACTTTTTTTTAGGAATTTGTCCTAAAATTTATTATTTAGACTATTAAAAATTTTTTATCCAACACTTGTTTATAATGATACTATAATTTCTTTGGTTTTAAAGGAATAATGTGGCCTATAAGTCACTAGTGTGTTATAAGTCATAAGTCACTAGTAAGTTATGACTTATAACCTACTGGTGACTTATAGAAATCATAAAAAGACAAATGTTTGGTTTATTTTTCTAGTTTTTATTGGAAAACCAATTTGAAACAGTAATAAGTCAACAAATAACCTAAAATGCTACAAACTTACAATCTACCTACTTATTAATATTAATATTAACATTTATGGTAAAGCCGTAATTTGATTCCAAAAGATTGGAATCATTCTGTGATTGTGGTAAATTTATAGAACAGGTTGCCCCTTTGCTTGTGCTTGCTTCAGGAGCCTACACTCCTTGTATCTTTTTAGCAATATCAATTTTGCTGGAAATTGACTCTTCAATATAACCTTCTACCACGGTAGATGACTTCCATCCACCGTGGCGTTTGAGTGTTGTAATATCCCCTCCAGCATTGGCCAAGGGATGCGCGATGCAAGCCATGCCCTGTATATAAACTAGAATCTGTCAAGCCCAAAAATGGCGCACCAACATTAGCATTTTTGATAGCTTCTTAATACCAACACATTGACGTGTGCATTTTCCCTTTTGAAAATTACAAAAGAATCTTTTATGCTGCACTTTTTGAGGTCTTAGCTTAGAATATTTTCTAATTAATTCAATTGGATTAATACAAAACCCTTCATTTAACACAGCGGTTTGTTCGTTTTAGTATTTGAAATCATGATGTGGATATACTGCCCTTTTCCTCTATATTGTCTATGCTTAGATGGGTTAATTCCTAGCAGCGGTACGCGCCAAAACTCCACCTAAAAACAACAAATTTAATAAATAAACTGTTAAACTATTCAGAACCTACCTTATTCATAAGATGATCTCCGTCTAGGGCTTCACGCAAAAATTGTTCTATTTGTTATCTTTCTAAAACCTTGGTTGAAAATGTTTATTTTAGAAATTTCAATGTTCTTGTAAACTCTCAAAGTTGACATCAACATGGAATATTTAGTTCACAATGGGGATGGAGGTAATTTGTCACTTAAATTGAAAAAATAAGCCAGCAAGATATGTTCATTTACACCTTTCACCCCTTCGTTGATTTTCCAATCTTGAAATTCCTTCAGTTCTTTGTTGTATGTTTTTCTTTCTTCGGAATGATGCCTGCATTAGCCGCATTAGTTTTTTCTAAAATTTCAGATGGAATTTCCACATTTTCCATTTTTTCAGTCTTGGTCTTAAGATTTCAACGTGATTTCAGCTCAAAAAATATTGTTTTTTTACTGACAATTCTTCGTTAAAGACATACATAATACATTCATTTCGTTAAATTACTTTTTCTGACATTGAGAACTTGAAATTTTAAGTTACTTTTTATTTATTATTAAAACGAAATTCTATGAAAGTGTTGGATAAAATTTTGCATGGCACTCGTGTGTTACGTCATATAAGTCACTTGGGGAACATTTCCCAGCGTGACACACTAGTACCATAAATAACTATAAGACAGTGAATCATTCGATTAACTCGTATTATAAGTATATTACATAGGGATTTTTTTAATTTATAGGAAGCTTTTTAGTAATTTATAATACAAAGTACAAAAATGCTTTCGAAAAATAGATAGATACAGTTTGTTGCTGTTCATAAGTTAAATATGAGGGTTAAATTTCAATACTTATTTCTGGGGCACCCAGATTTCATCATTTTTTTTTTACAAATACTGACATTTTAATATACTTAGATTTAAATAAGATTTAATATAAATTACCAAAGTTGAACTGAAATTGTAATCGTCATTGCCATTACATCTGACTATTGGTAAGTATTTAGCAACAACTATATCTAAATTTAAAAAAATAAACGCACTGTTCTTTCAGGGCTCTCTCAGTCGTGCTCTGGGTCTGAACAAAACCAAAATCGACAGGGAGCGCGAAAAACAATCGCCCACATCAAGCTCCGAAAATTCATCAGTCATCAGTCGCATCAGCCCACCCCTTCAGTATTTCTCCACGAAGTCATCCAGATCGGGAGGAGAGTCGCCCATATACGCACAACCTTTCGCCCATATCCACCCTTCAAGTTTGTACCAGCGCAGGTCGGAAGATTACGACACATACGCGTGTAGGTCTATCGACGAATATGACATCACGAAGAGTGTCCAAAGCATCCGATCGGAATCGGACCAAAGAGATAACATATCAAAGAAAGAGAAGAGCAAACTGTTCAGTGGTTTGGCTGGTGGTAGTCTGCATCGCGGTAAAAAGCAACACAGGAGAGTTCGAAGCATCGGTGATATTGACGTAATTCACGTAGAACCAGTTTAGTTTTTACATTTGTTAAGAAAATATATGAATATAAAGCAATTAGGAACTAAAACAATAAAGTAAATTGAGTAAAATATATCTATATAAAATATATATGACAAATACTGAAAAATGAAGTAACTAGTTAAATCTAAATTGCTCATATTTTCTCATAAGTTTTAAAATTATATAATTAGCTATCCTAACGTTAGATATTGGTAAATAACATCCCAAATTTAACATTTTCTCGTTTTATGGAAAATTCACAGATGCTAACCTTGCAACATATTTGCTGACAATGCACATTTATAATACAATGTACTAACTAATATTACAATATTATATATAATTTTTACATGTCTGTCTGATACAATTTAGTAAAATTAAATAAGGAAAAGTATCTGAATGAAGTCTAGTCAGTAATCTCTAGAATAATAGTTGTTTGAAAACAAGGGATCAGGAATCACTTTGTCAGTGTTATTTAATGACATTTTACAGTAAAATATGTACATTCTAGGGGCAATAGGATATTAATTAACATTTTTTCCCCTTTTTAATAAGTTAGGTACTCTTTTTTTTTAAAAGTAAAACATCGTATACTTTCTAATTCTAAGAAAAAATAGGCTCTTGTGGATTTTACTTAATTTTCTGAGAATACAAAACGCGAATATTGGAAAGGGCCCGTCGTGTTTTTTTTTACAAATAATTTGAATAAATTCCGAAAATTTTTCTAAATGTTCTGTTAAATGAAATCAAGTAATGTTTTTTTCTATAAAAAAATCTAAAATAAAACACATGTATTTAAAAAAAAGATTTTAGTAAAAAAGGCAAATATTGGTTAGGTAATAAAATAATTAACATCTAATCTAGTCATACTGTCAATTTAAATTTTTCAAATGTTTTGTTTTATATATTTTGTTCTATTAATATACAAGGTGTTAACGAAATAAGTACTGAAAATTGGAGAGTATGTAAAACATGTCGAAATATGATGAACACCATAGTAGAGTTTTTGTCAGTGGTGGCACTTAAAGGAGATACAGCTCCTTGAAGGGGTAACTCAGGAAACAGTTTTTATTTTATAACTTCAAAACGGTTTAATATTATATCGCGAAATTTTGGAGTTGCGTTACTATTTATATGCTTAATAATCGGTATAACATACAAATCAAAATTCCATTTACAAGGAGACCATTTGAAAAAGCGATCTTCAAAGTGCAGAAATAGAGAAGATCTATCTATTGTGGCTATATTTGCATTTTGGTTTTCATTAAAGGTGAGCAGATGTCTTGAAAAAAAAAACGATTTATCCATAATTCGTAGGAGAAAACCCTATTTTCTAATATTCTGTTACCCCTCTTACTTATGTTAGGTTTTTGTATTAGTTTCATGAGTAAGTTGAAAACCCAAGAGTAGGCTAATATCTGATTACTTCTTACTTACCAATAATTATGGTTATTTGAAATACACTAAAATCTTTATCGTGAGTTTGCTTGAATTTTTTCAATTCCAGTAAATCAAAAAGTATACTTTGTCTTACGGAACCTTAGAATTAATTAGAAATTAGTTCAATATTGAGGACATACCAAAGAACAACCATTTTTTAAAGCAACGTTATAAGAAATATAATAATATGTGTGCAGAACAAGTCTATAATGTATTCCCTATTTTTTTTAAAGCTGTAATCAAATATAACGAATCATTTCACTATCACACCATGAACACCAAAGCTCAGCTAAGCTAAACAAAACACAGTGTTCTAAATGTTCATATGATAGATAGGGTTAAATATATTGACTTATATTGTTAATGGTATGTAAGTTTATGTTTGTATCACTTCATTCCATATTACTGTATGTAAAATGAAAATTTAAGTACTCACGTGTGCAAACAACTTAATCAAGTTCTTAATTACAAAAAATGCTCATTTCATTGTATCCGTGTTAGAATATTTACGCTAGAATAAAATGGTGTTTACGTTGATCTACTGCTTGTGCATAATTATTGTTGTCTTGTAGCATTGTTTTCGTATTTATGAAGTATTTGTATAATAAATTTTATTTATTTCAAATATTTGTTTTTATTATTTGTGTCAAAGCAGTCGTGGAATGAGAAGAAGTTAATTAAAAATTTACTGACCTCGCCCAAATCTGGGGACCTACACTTTTATTATGTGAGTGAAAGAAACAATTAAATAAAAAAAGTATTTATTTGTTCTTATTGACTAACAATAAATTTCAATTTAGCATTATCAAAATTGAATGTAATGCTTTAGGTGAACTTGAAACTTCGTCATGAAGTAATAAATTGACACATATTTATTAAACAAGTACAAGCTCACCATTATCTCTGGAGGTTTTTAGGCTATCACATGAAAATACGAATCATGGACATATTTAGTAGTAACTAGAAACAAATTGCTTTTTGATAATTATTTTAGTGCTTCATTTGCAAAAGAATTTGTAGACATGTACAAATTATTGTTTGTTACCTTTTTGGTTTATTTCCTGGCAAACAAAACTTTAGGTAAACGAAAATTTGTCATAATTCCTGTAAGTCGTGATGATACAAGCTAAATATGTTCTAGCGTTGAGTTTTTGCTATAACAGAGAGTGTCCTAAAGAAACAGAATACTGTAGAAGAGAGGCAACTATTACAAATAGGACACATTTGCTGATAACCTTAATTTGTTTGGATGAAAAAAGTAAGTAACTTACTAACTATAATATATTTTTATTTCTATATGTTTGATACATATATTTTTTTAATGTAACATGCCAAAAGTTTTCACCAGTTAGAGGTACCTACACGACATAAGAATTTATTTCATTCTAAATAACAATTGACACATAGAGATTTTTCTTATTTTTCTGTAGATTAAAATTTAATTGTAAATATCTGTAGCCACATGTCTGCTCTTTACTAAAGGTTATCAGGTATGTAATTGTTAAGAAAAATACGTTTTAAGTATTCTTTACTACATTTTAAAAACATGTACCCGTTTAATAAGATAACAGATGCATACTGCCAGAAAAACTAAATTAGGATGCAGTATTGAAAGCAAGAAATATAATGTTTGTACATTAATAAAATGTTACTTAGATACATATGCACATTTACTCATAGCTTGTTGATATTGGTCATCTTAAGCAATAAGCGTATTTACTAAAATTACTAACATTTGATCCATGAGCTTGAGATCATAACTTTTCGGGATGGTGATCTGTGATTAATGACGAATTACAAGTTCTGGGACCTCGAAAACTTTAATTTGTATTAAATTGATATCCTCTACAGGGCGATTCTAATTATAAAGCCAAACTTATAACTCGTTAAGGTTTTGATACTTAATTAAGTAAATTATCTTCAAACAATCTATTTTCACATCAATTACACGATTGACACATAACAGATATAAAGTGCATCTAAAAATGTTTGGGAGTTGAATAACTTTCAATTGCTATACACTGTTAGGCAGATTTTGTTCTTTGGCAAAGGTTACAAATAATCATTACATATATGTAAATGTATGATGGAGGCTTATAGTTTCAATAAAGTTTCTATAACGGGAAAACACATTTAACAACAGCTAACATATTTATGAACAAATGGCAAATTTCTAAATGCAACAACTTTGTCTTTTTAGTCTGTCCAACTCTCAAATATTTTTAAATTGAATCTAGTTCACTATTTAGGTAGCGAATCCTATTTTTTGTGTTCTTGTTAATTATAGATTCAACTTTACGAACATATAAGGAGGACAAGAATATAAAAATACCATTTCTTGAAAAGAAAAAATTAAAAAACAAAACTAGTCCAGCTGAAGTCTAGAGAAAAGTTATTGAGATGTATTAGGAGGATTTAGAAAAACTGCGAGTCTCCTGTGATCAGTCGAAGAAATATTTTTAAACATTTATCAAGACAAAAATAAATAAATGTATTATTTATTTTGGAAACAAAGTGTTTTATTAATTCTTTACGAAACTTACAAACTAGTATTTGTTTTTTCATAGAAAGAGAAAAAGAAGTATTAGATATAAGCAGTTTACGGAAACTAATTGTTAGAAAGTTAAATCTTCTGATAACAGTTTCTGAATGAACTCTAACACATGCAATGAAGGCCCAGACACAAAATTTAAAATTCAACCACAATGCAGTTTTAAAATTCAAAAACTTAAACCTGTTCAAGATAAGTTGGCTGTATCAGGAGATATTTTTTTAAGTTTTCAAGCTGAAAATTTAAATTTACATATACAAGTCGTATTACATTATAAAATGACGAGTTTGATAAAAATTTATGCACAATATAATCATACTCAATTTTATTTGTGCTGGAAACAAACACAATAATTTATAATAATAATCTCATTGATGTCACATGTAAACAATTCTTAAAAGTAGTGTCACGAGTTGTACCTTATTAGCCCTAGCTAATAATAAACTGTTTATGCAATTGTACAAAGAATCCAGTTTACTATGGCAATCTTAATTAATATAAAACGATAAACTTTGTACACATGTATCTGGAAAACGTGTCAAGCAAAATATCGATAGCGAATGTTATTACGAAACACTTTTTTCTTAAGTGATTTAAAACGCAATTTCTCTCAATAGTTATTAACATTCCGGCAAAGAGTGCAGTGTATCAAAATGAATAAATTTGTTATAGTTGCCGTTGTTTTGTTTTTATGCATAAACGTCTCAACATGTAAGTACTTTACTCCCGAGTATTTTACCTTGAGCTAAAAAATATCAACTTAATTATTAGTTTTGCCTATCTTTTAAACTTTTTAATACAAGTTTAATATTCACATAATTCTGTTGAATTTTTTAATATTTACTGCTATAACAGTGACATGAAAAAGCTGTCATATGAGCTTTTTAGGTGAGCCAGTTTGCTATAATCAAGCTTGTCCGGCAGGAACAACAAACTGTAAGAAAAATATTAGATCTAGTCCAAACAGGAGAAACTTGGAAATCAGGATAAACTGTTTGGATGATTTTAGTAAGTTCCTTTACTATATCTTAATAAATGATGAGAATTTCCAGTTTGTTTCATTATTTTATTATTTTTATTATATCAGACTTTTTATTTAAAAATTGTTAAACAAATAACCGAGTGTATCTATCAAGTTTATACTGATTTATTTTGTGCGAGGTAATTATGATAAGGCAAAAATAGCCAATACCTTGACTAATCCTACTGTTGTCTTCAGTGTGGAGAAAACACTCAATTAAAATTAAGAAAATGTCAAAAATAAATAATTAATAATTTAGAATGTGTTGATTAGAAATTTTTGATAATTGTTAATTGTTATAAAAGTCTTATAATTAAAAAATTTTTTCTTCATAGATGGAAGCCTCAAGGAATACTTCTTCCAAGAGCCGAGTTCAATGAATCCTCATACGCATTACGAAAGCTCTTCGTTTTCTGCAGCGGGAGGTATAAGGGATGATTACTACGTTGGAAACAATGGTTTAGAAGAATTTTTGAGATAAAAATACATTATTCCATAATAGCTTATTTCGTAAAAAATGTTATGAAATATTGCGACACCTACATAATTAATTTAATAAAATATTTATTTCTATTACCTAATTAATTAATAGTTAAACCTCAAGTATATTCCAATTTATAAAATTGTTCTGTGTTTTAAAAATCATATAGTTACCATTTTCTACATTACAGACAACAAAGTATTATTAGTATATTAAGGTAAATTTTAATCGATACATAGTGACAATAATACACCTAATATTTGAGAGTGTTATTCTACCGTCAAGGTAAATAAATTAACATGATTAGTGTAATCATTCGATTAATGAGAAAATCTATTTTAAGGAAATATATTATATGATTAATAGTACTTATTCATAAAATATCTATAATTTCCACTACTTTGTCCTCAATAGCAAAGCACATTTATTAAATAAAATACGTAGCATAATTTTTTACTATGTAAATTTTAATAGAATAATGATTTTTATCCACAATCACATTATAATCGGACTTTTATCCATACATATGAACCGTCTAAAGTGATCTTATCTTTATCCACTAGTGAAATAAATTAGGTAACTTTATTTCACTAGTGAAATAATAAACCTATAATAAATTAAATTTAACTTATTTATTTATTAACATTAACATTTACATTTATAGTAATATACATTTCGTTTTGTGTTTTATCACATTTAACTACCTTTCTGTTAATAACAAGCTTTGTAGCATTGTTGCCATCATTTTCTGAACTCATCTGCCGACGTTTGTGAAAGATTTGCACAAGTTACGGATGTCTCTTCTTGTAAGGAATAACTATATTTTCCTTGGATTTTCCTTGCAATAACAAGTTTGTTAGATATAGACTCCGCAACATAACTTTCTGCTAAAGAAGAGCTCTTCCATCCACCATGCCGTTTGATGGTTGTAAGATCAGCACCTTTATTAGCCAATAAAGTTGTTGAAGTGAGCCTCATACAATGGCCAGTATATTCTTCTGAATTTGCGATATGCAGGAATGAAGCAACTATTGAGGGTACTTACGCCAATGTGTTGATTCCAACAGGATGAGAAGTACATTTTTGATCGATGTATCTTAAAAAGAATCTGTCTTGTATTAGGCGAATTAGGTGCATTAGTAAGAAATATCAAGTCGCAAGAATATTTTTTTATTAAATTTCAATAATTCTGACTCCACAAATGTGATTGTGATCTGATTATGGATAAAACATATTGCATTCGTGTTTTAATTGCCTTTTATCCACTTAAGAATATTAAACGCTTGAACTACGTTCTTGCGCTTAAACATTATTGGGTGGATAAAATGCCACTTAAAACACTTATACAATAAATAACTATAATATGAATTTAAAGTAAATGAGGATAGCAATATTTCATTAACTTTGCGTACTCCATTAGCAAACAAGAGAAAATTAAATTAGGTATATATTGTAAGTCCTTAAATATATTTAATTTTAAAATGCATTACTCAACGTCAAAAGCTCAAAAGCTGTAAAGTGGAATTACTTAAATTCTTAATAAAAGTAATGAACAATTGAACATACATTGAATGGTGGCCAGTCGACATTACCCTAATGAACTTGATAAGACTTCATTATTCGACATAGTAGTGTCTGCATTATCACAATCACCACATAAAAATATGAAGTTGCAACTTAACACCTCCCGTATATTTATAAAACCATTGGCAATTTTATTATCTGGGTTTGGTATACTGCCATGGTATAGTTTAGCGAGGGGTAAACTAACTTATCCGAGAATATTTAAGTTTTACAGTACCCTCCTGGTACTTATAACGGCAACACTATCTTTCAGTTTCTTTTACGCCAGATTTCAGATTATTTTTCCACACTCCACTACTTTATTAAATGTTCTGGATACTGCCGCTAATATGGCCGGCTTAGTTTTTGTTGTGGTAACATTGTTGGGGTCGTCGTTTTGGAATATGCATATTTGGGAGCTGCTGTTACCAAAGGTGGAGGTGCCTAACGATTCTATACTTTCAACTTACCTCGTCTTCTTAGGAAATGTAATTATGATCATCCTGATATTTATTGATTATTTCAATAATATGAATCAATTATTTTTATATTATAGCGCCTTCTTTATTTATCGTTATGTTTACTTGCTTACCACACAGGCAATTTTTGTGTTTGTTGACTTTATAAGGTACAAATACAGATCATTAAATGATTTGTTCTATTTTAAACCTAGTGACGTTATTGATCGCAGAATTATCCGCAGCATTAAGAAAATTGGAAAATTGTACCTTGAACTACATGATCTTACGAATATCTTCAATATTTTATTTGGGTGGCCCTTATTACTGCTTTTCTTCAACGCAGTCTTACAAATACAATGCATCCTTCCAGTCTTTATAGGACTTAGAATAATGTTGGAAAATGTGTTATATGAACCATCTACAATTACTCTCATTTTAAATACTGCCTATGTTCTAGAATTAATGGTAAGTATTACAAAAATAATTATAGTAAAATTTTACGAAAAAAAAATTTGTAGATTTGTAAAAAATAGGATATTCCTGTTCTTTAATATCTGTAAAATTAAAGATTGATTAAAAATCTATTTAAATTTCTTTGATTACAGGTTCCGCTAATAGCTGTTATAATGCGCTGTGAAACAGTAGCTCAAGAAGCAGAAAAGTCACTAACAAATTGTTACAAACTAGAAAATACAATTTTACTGTTTTCTGATGAGTTGGAAGAACTGGAAAACTTAAAAATGGTAATCATAGATAGGAATCCAAAGTTGACTGCGGCGGGCTTTTTCGAAATAAGGAGATCGACATTGGTTTCTCTATTGAGCATCATTACAACATATTTTATTGTCGTCTTACAATTTAGTTCCTTATAGATCTACTACACATTTTTCCTATATATTAATATTTTATTAGGGCATTGCAAAATATTTTTCCCATTAGTAAAAGCACATATTTATAAATAATATTTACACACAGTGTCTCTAATAAATTGTAGCATACTTCACTGTAATAGTAAAAACTGAAAGATTAATAAATCCGCATACAAATGAACGTTTGATATTTTTTAAATATGTCTTCAGATCCTCCAGTCAAGAAAGGAAAAATTCAGAAATCAAAATAAACTGGAAAATTTTGGAAAGTTCCTTAATCATTTCTCAATATAATAATAAGATAGAAGACAATAATCTCAAGGTTAATTGGTTAAAAATGAGAAGAATTGTGTGTTCTGTTCTAGGACAATGACTATTTCTATTATAGTCCGGGAGAATTATTTTTTTTTTTTCAAAAATCGGGCCTAACTCAAATTTTAGGGCCTTAAAATTAAGAAAAAATACATAGAATAAGAGCGTGACTTTTGAAACAGGCATGTGTTCGGTCTAATTCGCCCGGATTATTAATAAAGTGCATGTAAGCAAAAAATTGACAGTTTAAACGTAAAAATATGATACGGACTGTAGAAACTATAAACTGATTAAGAATAATTTATTTATTAACGTATTGTTGCAATACATTAATCAATATATTAAAATCACATTTAACATTATACATTTTTATCAACTACTGTAAAGTTTCCAAAAGCATGAGAATATTATTATAAGGTATTACTAAAGTAAATAGTTATTTATGTAAAGGGAGATACAGGTATGCTTATGCCCGCAGGCGACAGATTGCTTTCGAGGTCCGTTTAGACTCGAGGAAAGCAAGTCGTCTAATGGCATAATAATCCTAGTGTCTCCCTTGATGCATACAACGTTTTATTTTTCACTTAGACTTATTTTAAATTTAATAATTAAATGTAAATGAGAATGACAACAGTTTTTGAATATACACTAGGCACAGAAATTAAGGGATATTTTAAAATTTTTTAGCGTCAGCAATTTTTGAGTACTAGTAAGAAAATCAATTGAAAAAAATTGTAAATTTTTGCTTTTTTAAAAATGCATATGACCTCAAAAAATTTTTTTTGGTAATTTCATCATTTTCAGTTTTTTTTAGATAATTTAATTCTCTTCAATTTGAGCGGTTCCCGAGTTATCGTCGATCAAAGCAAATAAATCATTTTTGACTTTGGCAATCAATTACTAGGAAAATAATGGTCGTACAGAAAATCCAAGCAGGGTTTTCAAAACTACAAAGTATTCTTTAGATGTCGAAATTATGGGTTTTTAATAAAAAAAATTTTTTTTTCAAAGTGAAAATGTTGGTTAGAAAAAAGGTAAAAATTGCATAATTAGGGATTAGGGATAATTTGAATAACTTGGCATAACTTTGCAAATAATGAATAAACTAAGGATATCGAGTGTCCTAAAGTAACCCTGATAATTTCAAAACGTTGCGATTTTTTTTCCTAGTGCCCGGAATGTTTAAATTTGTCGACGTGCCCAATGGGGTTCAAGTCGGCACTCATACGTAGGTCATTGAGCGTTACCACATTGTTGGCGTGAAGAAATTTTCAGCCAATCATTCAGCCCTAACATATTGTGGACAAAGTATTCAATGTTGAAGACCACATTATTAGTGCGTAGAATGTAAATATAGGAGAACATCATCGATTAGAGGCTTATTTGAAGCAAATATCGACAGGATATATTCCAAAAGAACTTAAGATATTGACAAGGGAGGATATTTTGAAATTTATTAGAGAATCATCATGTCATACATATCTTTTTAAAAAGGTAATATAGGAAATAATTAGCTATATTATTGCATGTGCTTGATAGGTTTTTGTTATTGTAGGTTGTTCTAGTAATAGGTGTTTTTGGAGGATTAAGAAGAGATGAGTTGGTAAAGCTCTTGATAGATGATATAGATGACAAAGGAATCGTTGTTGTAGTAAAAATTAACGATACAAAAATTATACCAAAATCGTTTATTATTGTGGAAGAAAATGAAATGCACGCTCTCCAATTGTATTGGCGATGTATATCTTTGCCACCAAAAGAAATTAAAGAACGGCGGTTTTTTCTGACAAATAGGCAAAAATACCTTAGGTAGTATACCGTCCAGGATTGCAAAATATCTCGGCTACGCAAATGCTAAAATGTACACAGG